AGTCTTCTTGGAGTTACAACATTCTATTGGTCATGTAAGTCACCAAGCTAGACCAGATTCAAGGGGAGGGTACTTAGACTTCACCTCTTGATGTAAGGAGCACCATGTGCATATAGGGAGGAAAGGAAATGATGGTGGTCTTCTTGGAGGCCATTTACTACCCATATTTTTGAGACTTTTGATAAATATCCTCAATAAATATTCTCTCAGAAAGTCTGCAGTTCTACAGTTGATGTATTTCTTTTTTATTTAATTTAAGTAAAATGTAAATAACAAAATTAACCATTTCAAACCATTTTTAAAGTGTACAATTTAGTGGCATGAAGTACATTCACAATGTTATGCAACCATCACCACTATCTAGTTCCAGAACTTTTCATCATCCCAAATGAAAAACCCATACCATTAAGCAGTCACTCCCAATTCCCCCCCTCCTAGTCCTTACCAAAACCCAAACCAAACCCATTGTCATCAAGTCAATTCCAACTCATAGCGACCCTACAGGACAGAGTAGAACTGGCCCATAGGGTTTCCAGGGAACACCTGGTAGATTCAAACCTCCGACCTTTTGGTTAGCAGCCGTAGCTCTTAATCACTATGCCACCCCTAGTCCTTAGCTACCACTAATCTGCTTTCTGTCTCTATGGATTTGCCTTTTTTGGATATTTTATGTAAATGAAATCATACAGTATGTGGCCTTTTGGTGTCTGGCTTCTTCCATTTAGCATGTTTTTCAAGGGTTATCCATGTTGTACCATAAATCAGTACTTCTTTCCTTTTTATGGCTGAATAATATTCTATTGTATGGATAATACCACATTTTGTTTATCCATTTATCAGCTGATGGACATTTGGATTGTTTCCACCTTTGGCTTTTGTGAAAAGTACTGCTATGAACATTTGTCTACAAGTTTTGAACACCTGTTTTCCATTATGTGGAGTATATACCTAGGAATGGGAATACCGGGTCATATGGCAGTTCTATGTTTAACTTACTGAGGAATTACCGAACTAGTTTCCATAGCAGCTGCATCGTTTTACATTCCCACTGGAAATGCATGAGGGTTCCAGTTTCTCCACATCCTTGCCAACATTTGTTATTTTCCATTTTTTAAATTATGGCTCTCCTAGTGGGTGTAAAGTTCCCATTATGGTTTTGATTTGCATTTTCCTAATGATTAATGATATTGAGCATTTTTTCATGTGTTTGTTGGCTATTTGTATATCTTCCTTGGAGAAATTTCTATTCAAGTCCTTTGCCTATTTTTTAAATTGGGTTTTTCTCTCTTTGTTGCTGAATTGTAAGAGTTCTTTATATACTCTGTGATGCCTTTCCATTTATTTAGGTCATCTTTAATTTCAGCAATGTTTTGTAGTTTTCAGTGTGCAAAGTATACACATCTTTCACCTCCTTGGTTAATGTTCTTCTAAACTATTTTATTCTTTTTGATGTTATTGTAAATGGAAATGTTTTCTTAAATTCCTTTTCAGATTATTCACTATTAGTGTATAGAAAAGGAGCCTTGGTGGCACAGTCATTAAGTGCTTGGCTGCTAACTGAAAGATCAACAGTTTTAACCCACTAGGACCTCAATAGGAGAAGAGACCTGGTGATCTACTCCCATAGAGATTACAGTCCAGGAAACCCTATGGGGCAGTTCTACTTTGTCATACAGGGTTGCTGTGAGTTGGAATTGACTTGATGGCATACAACAACAATAACAGTTTATAGAAGTACAACTGATATTTGTGTTCATCTTATGTCCTGCAACTTTGCTGAATTTGTTTATTATTAGCTCTAGTAGTTTTTTTGTGGATTCTTAGGATTTTTTTTATATATAAGATCATGTCATTTGTGAATAGAGATAGTTTTACTTATTCCTTTCAAATTGCTAATAATGCAAATAAGGTGCATGGCCCCCTTGTGGGGAGTAGAACCTTGCAAATAAGGTGTATGGAACCCTAATGAGGGGATTGGTCAGTTTTGCTATCATGCTAGGCTTAAAATGAGCCATCCTAGTGGTGAAAAGGGGGGACCTCCTTACCACCAAGAAGGAAGAGCTAGGAGTGGAGTGCATCCTTTTGACCCAGGATCCTAGCACTGAGAACCTCCTAGACCTAGGAGACAGAGAGAGAGAGCTGTAACACCAGAGATGGTGAGAGATGGTGAGAAGCAGTGGCAGAAAAGTAGCGGTAGCAGAGGCAAGAGAATCAGGAGATGGGCAGGAAATGGCACAGTGGGCTGTCTGGCCCATAGTGTGAGAAAGCTGAGGACCTTCAGGCAGAAGGCTTGCTGGCAGAGTAGGATGCTTCCAGGCACTTAACGGAGGTAGGCTTACCAATATGCAGAGTGAGAGAGTTGAGCGCCTTTGGACAGGAGGCTTACTGGTGGAGTGGGATGCCTCTGGGCTCTCATCTGTGGAGCTAAAGAGCTCTGTTACACTTGCCCAAGCAAGGCAGAGGTGAGGCCAAGGGGGCGAGGGGCTGAGAGACTGAGGGCCAGAGAGAGGCCTGCCTGCAGGCATGGCTAAGAAGAAGCTGTCCTGATCAAAGAACTGTATCATTAGTTGTTTCTGATCCTGAACTGTAACTTGTTACTTCCCTAATAAACTCCATAATCATGAATATTGTATGTGAGTTCTGTGTGGCCATTGCAGTGAGTTATTGAACCTAGCAGAGAAGTAGAGTGTGCTATGGGAGAGACGGCTGGTGAATTGGTAAAAAGTTGGAGAGAGGAGGCATGTCTGACCTCTACCTCACAGTAGTCAGCCTTGGGCTCTTGATGTTCATAATGATTCTGTCTCCCCTCATGAAGGCAGAGGAGGTCAGACAACCCCACCACAACATTTTTACAGTGTCAGAGTAGAATTGTGCTCCATAGGGTTTTCATTAGCTGATTTTTCAGAAGTAGATCATCAAGCCTTTTTTCTGAGGTGCCTCTGGATGGACTCGAACTGCCAGCCCTTCCCTTAATAGCTGAGTATATTAACCATTTGCACCACCCAGGGATGTCTGTTCTCTTAAAACACTTTTAATAATACTTTTTATTTCTATAAGGTCAGTAGTAATGTTTCATCTTTCATTTCTGATTTTAGTAATTTGAGGCTTTTGTCTCAGTTTGTCAGTCTAGCTAAAAGTTAAATTTTATTGACCTTTTCAAAAAACCAGCTCCACATACCATATATTTCACTCATTTAAAGTGTACAATTAAGTAGCTTTTAATATATTCACAGAGATGTACAACCGTCACCACAATCAATTTGAGAACATTTCCATCACCCCAAAAAGAAACCCCATACCCATTAGCATTCATTCCTTATTTCCTCCCAACCTCCCATCCCCTGGCCCTGTGCAACTACCAGTGTACTTTCTGTCTCTATAGATTTGCCTGCTCTGGACATTTCATATAAATGGAATTATACAGTATGTGATTTTTATGTCTGGCTTCTTTCACTTAGCATAATGTTTTCAAGGTTCATCCATATTGTAACATGTGTAAGTACTTCGTTCATTTTTATTGCCAGATATTATTCTGTTGTATGGATATACCAGCTTTTGTTTATCCATTTATCAGTTGATGGTCATTTAGGCAGTTTCTTCTTAATACAGCATCTAGAATGATTATATTAAAATGGAAGTCGATTCATGTAACTCCTCTGCTTAGAAATCTCCAGTGACCATCACACTCTGAGTAAAAGCCAAAGTGCTTTCAGTGGCCTACAAGGGCCTACATGTTCTACACTCTACCTCCTTTCCTACTGCTTACAAAAAAAAAAAAAAAAAAACCCACTGCTGTGGAGTCGATTCCAACTCATAGTGACCCCATAGGGTTCCCAAGGCTGTAAATCTCTACGGAAGCAGACTGCCACATCTTTCTCCCGCGGAGTGGCTGTTTGTTTTGAACTGCTGACCTTTCAGTTAGCAGTCAAGTGCTTTAACCCCTGTGCCACCAGTCCAGCCAAACTGGCCTCTCTGCTATTCATTATACACACTAGGCACATTCTTGCTTCAAGGGCTCTCCCCTTTGCTTGACATGTTCTTACCCCAGAGGTTTACATGACGTACTTCCTTACTTCCCTCAGGTCTTCACTCCAATGTTATTATCTCAGTGTAGACTTCTCTGGTGAAATATGCTCCTTCATTCCACATCCCCAGCCCCCAAAATCATCTTTCTGCATTCCTGCATTGTTTTTCTCTATGGCATTTATCACTAACATATTTATCTTATTATTTATACTGTTTATTGTCTCTATCTCCTCATTAGTATATAAGCTTCATGAGGACAATAATTTTTGTCTGTTTTATTTAATGCATCCTGGTGGCGCAGTGGTTAAGCGTTTGGCTGCTAACCAAAGGGTCGGCAGTTCGAATCCACTAGTCACTCCTTGGAAATCCTATAAGGCAGTTCTACTCTGTCCTATAGGGTTGCTATGAGTCAGAATCAACTCAACAGCAATGGGTATACGGGTATCCCCAGCACCTAGAAAGTGGTCTGATGCATAGCAGGCAATCGATATATATTTTGAATAAATGAATGAATAACATTGTCTCTGAAGAGGAAACTGGGTGGCTGGGAACAGGGTTGGAAGAAGACATTTTACTGTATATTGTTTTATACCTTTAAAGTTTTGAGTCATATGGATATATTACCTACTGAGTGTACCTAAAATCATGACCCATTTCTTTTCAACTCTGTAATCAAGCAGCCTCTTGCGTACAACAACAGTTTTTCTTAAATGTGTAAAGTTAAAGCCAAGACTCAAATTAGCCACAAGTACAGTTTGGATACAATCCAATAGCTGCTGCTTGGCCTGTTTTCTAACTGGTCCATAGCCATATACTATTCTGGGGTTCACATCTAGGCTTTTACATGATAGAATAGCACAGGGCTCAAGTGTGATAGGGGAACAGATCTTGGATCTCCCCTACTGAGACTCTTTGCAGTTGTAAAGTAAGAGAATGTAAATCTACAGATAATAAATTTTCTTTTTCTGATACAGGGTCAAGGAAATGATTCCTCCAAGGCCTCCTCTTACCCGTCGTACAGGAGGAGCTCAGAAGGCAAGTGTCAGCGCCAAGGTGAAACCATAAGTAACAGGGTATTGAGTGTACGCATTTAGACAAAAAGGCACGGACTCGTTAAGTAGTTTTTCCAGGAGGTGTGAAAAGTTGTTTGAAGCTACGCATAATTTTCATTCCTGGTTCCATTTGTGACCAGTGGCATACAGTGAATAACATACAGTGTTTAATCTTTGGCTGGTCTCTGAGTTGGGAAGAAAAGGACAGTTTATACCTAAAGTATTACTGAACATAAAACCCAAGGTAGTTTCAGACTTCCAGTCCACAATCCTGACCTCTTTTGAGGCCTCTTTTCTGATGTATTTTAATTTTCCTAGGCGGTGAGTGACTATCACATGCAGATCAAAAACATTTCAAGAGCCATTCTGGATGAATACCACAGGATGTATAGCCAAGAGGTGACCAAACTGGGGAAGGAAATGGATAATGAAACCCTGGAGGAGCAGAAGTGCCAGCTCAACTATGAACTTAATTGCTCTGGAAAATACTTTGCTTTCAAAGAACAACTCAAGGCAAAACATTTATTTAATTATTCCATGGTTTTTTATTGAGCACCTTCTCTGTATACCCAGTTAAACTTTTTTTTCCCTCTGATCGTGTCCAGCTATGCGCCTACCTTTCTTGTTGTTGATGCGAAGGACTAAGTTCTCTTTGGTATAATGGCAGGAGAAACTCCATTCCTGCAGAGTCTTGGAATGGTTCAGTATCCATTCTGAGCATGAACTTTTAAGAACCTAATTCTTCACTTGGGGTTAGGTCAGATTTCCTGTTGCTGGAGGGGACAGAAACTCTGCCTATACTGACCCTGTGACTTCTTATCTCTGTCTCTTATTATGAACCTTTCCCTAGTCCATAGAATCACTGAAATTTGTGTAAAAACGGCATGGAAGTGGTGTCTGACCTCCTGTAACTTCTCAAGGGGGAAGGAGGATCAAAATCAACAGCCCAAGGCTGATTCCTATGAGGCGGAGGTCAGACATGCCTCCTCTCTCTGCTGTCTTTACCAATTCTGACACCAGCTGTCCCTCCCATGGCACTCTCCACTTCTCTGCTGGGTTCAGTTATTGCAGTGGCCACACAGAACTCACAGACCATATTCACGATTATAGGGTTTATTAGGGAAGTAACAGGTTACAGTTCAGGCTCAGGAACACTCAGGGATACAGTTCTTCCACAGGACAGCCTCTCTTCCCAGCCATGGTCACAGGCATGCCTCTCCCTGGACCTAGGCCTCTGCCCAGAGGCACTCAGATTTCTGTCTCCATGGGCTGGGTAGCCCACTGCACTGTCTCCTGCTGCCTGGTCTCTGCTGCCAGGTCTCTCCTGCCACCACTTCTTACCATCTTCAGGGTTATAGCTCGCTCTCCATCTCCTGGGTCCAGGAGCTTCTCAGCGCAGGGATCTTGGGTCCAATGGACATGCTGGCTCCTGGCTGTTCTTTCTTGGTGATGCTAGATTCTTCTCTCTGCTCTGGAATTGGCTGTCTTTTAAGGCAAAAATGACCAGTCCCCTTGGTGGGCCACAATTATCTTGTTTGCACAGTGCTGCCCAGTCATTTGGCTGAAAATTACAAGACCATGACTAGAAAGGCCACACAAAAGTGATCCATTACACCACAATTTGAGAAATATTTACTTAATAATAGTTTATTGAATAATAATGGCTCACAGTTATTGCCACCACCCAACTGTCAGTTGGTCATACTATATTGGCTAGCATGTTGCTATAATGCTGGAAGCTCTGCCACCAGTTATTTCAAATACCAGGGTCACCATAGTGGATAGGTTTCAGTGGAGCTTCCAGACTAAGACTAGGAAGAAAGATGTGGTGATAATACTTCCAAAATTTCCACAATTTAAACCCTGTGGACCAGCATATTGCCTGATATAGTGCTGAAAAATGAGCCTGCTAGGTTGGAAGGCACTCAAAATACACAGTGGCCACAATGGACTTGAGCACATCAACCATCATGAAGATGGCACAGGACTAGGAGTGTTTTCTTCTGTTGTTTGTGAGGTCACTATGAATAGGAGCTGACTTGATGGCAACTATGAACTTACAACAGAAATAGTTATTGAGTGTTTACTACATGCCAGGCACTTTCTAAATGCTTCATGTTTTACTAATTTAATTCTCACAACTCTATGAGGTAGCTGCTTCCCATTTTAAAGATGGGGAAATGAGACATAAGGAGGTTAAATAATTTTCCCAATGTCAGAGAGCTGGTAAAGTTCAAAGACAGTACTCAGATACAGGCAGTGTGGCTCCAGAGCTCAGGTTCTTAACCACTATGCTGCACTGCCTCTCTGTGCGCATTCACTATGTTCCTTGTGCTGTACTAAACAGATACAAAGACAGTATATGGGAGTAATAAAATAAAAAACAGCTGGTGCTCGTGGGGGCAAGAGGCTATTCTCAGTAGGTGGTATAAACAGGTCTCAGTTTGTTTTTGGTCCTATCTTCACTAGCTGGGTGACTTTGGGCAAGTGACCTTACCTCTCAGAGCCTCAATTTCCTTGCCTATTGAGTAGAAATAATAATAATATCGTATGGAGTCATCATGAAAAATAAATGATATAAAGCATGGAAAGTGCTTAATCAAAAACTTGGCAATAGTGTTTGCTCAGGGGAAAAAAATAAAAGAAGCTGTCCTGGTCATAGCAACAAACTGTGTTTATATTTGTACAGCATTTTAAGCTTTTCCACTTATTATCTTCTTTGGCTTCTCAGTCACCTTGAAGTAAGATAGTAATACCAGAACTACATATCCATTTAATAAATGAGGAAGCCGAGTACCAAAGTGGAAATTAATTTATAAGGTTGTACAGTGGCAGGATTAAAACAGGCAGTTTATTCTCTGGACTCTCAGACCAAGCCTTTCTCCCCTGAATCATGTGGCTACACTGGGAGAAAATGCAGTCTGAAATTGATTAAACATGCAGTCAAGATGCATTGATAATTACTGGTGATTAGAATGCAAACTTTGGAAACAAAGAAGAAGGACTGGTAGTTGGAAAATATGGCCTTGGTGATAGAAATGACACCAGAGATCGCATGATAGAATTTTCCAAGACCAATGACTTCTTCATTGCAAATACCGTTTTTCCACAACAACATAAATGGTGACTATACACATGGACCTCGCCAGATGGAATACACAGGAATCAAATCAACTACATCTGTGGAAAGAGATGATGGAAAAGCTCAATATTATCAGTCAGAACAAGGCCAGGGGCCGACTGCAGAACAGACCATCAATTGCTGCTATGCAAGTTCAAGTTGAAGTTGAAGAAAATCAGAACAAGTCCACGAGAGCCAAAGTGTGACCTTGAGTATATCCCACCTGAATTTAGAGACCATCTCAAGAATAGGTTTGACACATTGAGCACTAATGACCGAAGATCAGATGAGTTGTGGAATGACATCAAAGACATCATACATGAAGAAAGCAAGAAAACCCATTGCCATCGAGTCGATTCTGACTCATAGTGACCCTATAGGACAGAGTAGAACTTCCCTATGAAGAAAAGACCAAAATAGATGTCAGAAGAGACTCTGAAACTTGCTCTTGAACGTCAAGTACCTAAAGCAAACGGAAAAAATGAAGTAGAAGAGCTGAACAGAAGATTTCAAAGGGTGGCTCAAGAAGACAAAGTAAAGTATTATAATGAAATGTGCAAAGACCTGGATATAGAAAACCAAAAGGGAAGAACACGCTCTGCATTTCTCAAGCTGAAAGAACT